CGCCATGGTGACATGGAGCAGATCTAGACCTGAGCCTAATAAAAGGTTGTGTAAATAAAGGTGTCATAAAGGATGGGGTGGGGCGCGTGCTTGTCAGGGATGTGACCTCTAGGGGCTGTCAGAATGGCTCCCGCTCAATGTGCAGCGCCAGCGCTTGCCATGTCTCAGCTGCATCTCTGGGGCCCATGGCTGCTACTCATGTGGCAACTATTATGGCTACTAGTCCAGGAGGCTCAGCCTCTGGAGTGGGTCAAGGACCCGCTCCAGCTGACCTCTAACCCAACTGAGCCCTGGTCTTCCCACTCCAATCTCCCATGGGAATCTCCCCATGTGCTTACTTCCCTGGCAGGCCCCAGGGGCTTTGATTACCTGGGATCCTCTGCTTCCTCCCAGAGGTCAGCCCTGCCCCAGGAATTGACTGAGAATTTGGTTCCATTCCTGGACATGGATTCAGCTGGAGAGCTGCCCCCAGGGCCAGAGCCCTTCTTGTCTGCACACCCAGATCTGAATGACAAACTGACTCGGCAAGAAAGGCTCCCAGAGGTGGGTTCAATGCTGGATTGGGATGAAAACCAGACTGCAGTTCAGCCTCCTCGCCTCAAAAGTAAGATTCAGACTACAGATCTAGATCAGGCTGCAGATCATCAGGCATATAAAAGGATTCCACCTCTAGACAGTAAGGATTCAAAAGCAACCGACTTTATAGTTTCTCCCAAGAACCTGAAGAAAGATCTAGCATTGGAGGCTTGCTAAGGTTGTGAGAATTCCATGTCGATTCCACTTTCTCAATTCCATCTAGAGACCAAAACTAAAATCCAGAGACCCTTGAAGAGATCCAGTCCTCTTCCCTACAGCAAGAAGCCCCAGCGCAGTTTCCACAGCTCCCTGAGGAGGCAGAACCTTCTTCAACCCAGCAGGAGGCTCCAGCTCTGTCTTCACAGTCCCTTGAGGGGGTCCACTCTTCTTCAACAGGGCAGGAGGCCCCTGTGCAGCAGTTACCTGCCTCTGAAGAGATCGTAGTTTACCCGTCAATACAGCACAAGGTAGATGTTCCCTTTAAAAGTTGGTGTGAAGGTCAGCACTCACACTTGCCCAATGTCACAGTCAAGCCTGTGGATGTGGAGCTTACAGGAACTCCAGAGCCAGGTAAGGAACTTACATCAAGCCAAAAACAGGCCACAGCTCAGCCTCCAGAGCACCCCAAGGAGGTGAGCTCTTCCTGAACCCAATTACAGGCCCCAGCTCAGACACCAGAGGGCCCTAAGAAGAGGAAACCTTCTGCATTCCAGCAAGAGACCTCAACTGAGCCTCCGGGTCCTCCCACGGAGGCTGAACGTTCCCCCAGTGAGTAGGAGCAGCCAGCTCAGCCTTGTGAGTCTTCTGGGAAGCTTGAACCTTCTCAGACCCAGGAGAAGACGCCAGCTCAGCCTCCAAAAAGATGGAACGTTCTGCAATCCAAGAGGAGACCCAAAATGAGCCTCAAGGTCCTCCAGTAGAGGCAGAAGATTCCCTCAGTGAGGAAGAGCAGCCAGCTCAGCCTTCTGAGTTTCCTGTGGGGGCTGAACCTACTCTGACACAGCAGGAGGCCCCAGCTCAGCCTCCAGAGTCCTCTATGGAAAGCCTAGCTCAAGCTCCATGGAATCAGGAGCTGACAGTTCAACCTCCAGATGAGGATCAAGCTCATTATAACATGCCGAACATTACAATTAAACCTACAGATGTAAAGATTACCATAACTTCAGAGGCTACCAAGGAGACAGAATTTTCCCAAGCCCAGCAGGAGGCCCTGACTCAGCATCTAGAGGAGGTAAAACCTTCTGCAAGCAAACAGGAGGCCCCAACTGAACCTCCAGCTCCTCCTATGTAGCCGGAACCTTCCCCCACTGGCTCAGCCTTCTGAGTTTCCTTCGGGGGCTGAACCTTCTCTGACCCAGCAGGAGGCCCCAGCTCAGCCTCCAGAGTCCTCTATGGAAAGTCTAGCTCAAGCTCCACAGAATCATGAGCTGAGAGTTCAACCTCCAGATAAGGATCAAGCTCATTATAACTTGTCATAATAGTATAATTAAACCTGCAGATGTGAAGATTACCATAACTTCAGAGCCCACCCAGGAGAAAAAAAATCTTTCCAGGCCCAGCAGGAGGCCCCAACTCAGCATCTAGAGGAGGTGGAACCTTCTGCATCCCAACAGGAGGGCCCAACTGAATATCCAGGCCTACCTATGGAGCCTGAACTTTCCCCCAGTGAGCAGGAGCAGCCAGCTCAGCCTTCTAAATCTTCTGGAAAGCTTGCACCTTTTCAGACCCATGAGGAGACCACAGTCCAGACTCCCAAAGAGATGGAACGTTCTGCAATCCAAGAGGAGACCCCAGCTGAGCCTCCAGGTCCTCCTATGGAGTTTGAACCTTCCCCCAGTGAGCAGGAGCAGCCAGTTCAGCCTTCTGAGTTTCCTGCAGAGGCTGAACCTTCTCTGACCCAGCAGGAGGCCCAAGCTCAGCCTCCAGAGTCCTCTATGGAAAGTCTAGCTCAAGCTCCACAGAATCATGAGCTGACAGTTCAACCTCCAGATGAGGATCAAGCCCATTAAAGCTTGCCCAACATTACAATTAAACCTGCAGATGTAGAGATTACCATAACGTCAGAGCCTGCCAAGGAGACATAATTTTTCCAAGCCCAGCAGGAAGCCCCAACTCAGCCTCTAGAGGATGTGGAATATTCTGCATCCCTACAGGAGGCCCCAACTGAATCTCCTGGTCTACCTATGGGGACTGAACGTTCCCCCAGTGAGCAGGAGCAGCCAGCTCAGACTTCTAAATCTTCTGGGGAGCTTGAATCTTCTCAGACGCAGGAGGAGACCACAGCTCAGACTCTCAAAGAGATGGAACCTTCTGCAATCCAAGAGGAGACCCTAACTGAGCCTCCAGGTCCTCCTATGGAGCCTGAACCTTCCCCCAGTGGGAAGGAGCAGCCAGCTCAGCCTTCTGAGTTTCCTACGGGGGCTGAACCTTCTCTGACCCAGCAGGAGGCCCAAGCTCAGCCTCCAGAGTCCTCTATGGAAAGTCTAGCTCAAGCTCCATGGAATCATGAGCTGACAGTTCAACATCCAGATGAGTATCAGGCTCATAATAACTTGCCATAATATTATAATTAAACCTGCAGATGTGGAGATTACCATAACTTCAGAGCCCACCAAGGAGAAAGAATCTTCCCAGGCCCAGCAGGAGGCCCTGACTCAGCATCTAGAGGAGGTGGAACCTTCTGCATCCCAACAGGGGGCCCCAACTGAAAATCCAGGTCTACCTATGGAGTCTGAACTTTCCCTCAGTTAGCAGGAGCAGCCAGCTCAGCCTTCTAAATCTTTCCCTCAGTTAGCAGGAGCTTGAACCTTCTCAGACCCAGGAGGAGACCACAGTCCAGATTCCCAAAGAGATAGAACGTTCTGCAATCCAATAGGAGACCTTAACTGAGCTTCCCGGTCCTCCTATGGAGGCTGAAACCTTCTCCCAGTGAGCAGGAGCAGCCAGCTCAGCCTTCTGAGTTTCCTGCGGGGGCTGAACATTCTCTGACCCAGCAGGAAGCCCAAACTCAGCCTCCAGAGTCCTCTATGGAAAGTCTAGCTCAAGCTCCACAGAATCATGAGCTGACAGTTCAACCTCCAGATGAGGATAAAGCCCTTTAAAACTTGCCCAACATTAAAATTAAACCTACAGATCTGGAGATTACCATAACTTCAGAGCCTACCAAGGAGACAGAATCTTCCCAAGCCCAGAAGGAGGACCCAACTCAGATTCTAGAAGAGGTGGGACCTTCTGCATCCCAACAGGAGGCCCCAGCTGAACCTCCAGGTCCTCCTATGGAGCCTGAACTTTCCCCCAGTGAGCAGGAGCAGCCAGCTCAGCCTTCTGATTCTTCTGGGAAGCTTGAACCTTCTCAGATGCAGGAAGAGACCACAGCCCAGACTCCCAAAGAGATGGAACGTTCTGCAATCCAAGAGGGGACCCCAAGTGAACCTCCAAGTCCTCTTGTGGAGGCTGAAGGTTCACCCAGTGAGCAGGAGCAGCCAGCTCAGCCTTCTGAGTCTTCTGGGAAGGTTAAATCTTCTCCAGCCTAACAGGAGCCGCCAACCCAGCCTCTAGTACATCATGAAGTAATAGTTTTACCGCAAGGGCACCATCAAGCTCAGCATTCTGATTTTCCCAGTATCACTGTTACGCCTCCAGAGGTGCAGCTCACTATGGCAACAGAGTCTACTGCAGAGATGGGAACTTCTACAATCCACCAGGAGCTACAGCTCAGCTCTCAGGACCCATTAGGGTTGTAGAACCTTCGCCCACTTGGCACAGGGGCCCACCTCAACCTCCAGAGTCATTGGAAGTGGTTGGACCTTTACCAATTCAACAGGAGACTTCAGTTCAGTCTCCAGAACCTATTAAGGATGAGAACCCCTCTCCAACCCAGCAGGAGGCTGCAGCTGAGCATCCACAGACCCCTGAGGAGGTTGAGTCTCCTCTAAACCAGCACCAGGCCCCAGCTCTGACTCCACAGCTCCCTAATGAAATTGTAGCTCAACCTCCAGAGCATCATGAGGTACCAGTTTCTCCTCTAAGTCATGACCAAGTTCAGCCTCCAACATTGCGCAATGTCACTGTTAAACCTGTGGATCACATCACTACCATGACTCCATATTTCACTCATCAGGTTGAAATTTTAACCCAACAGGGGGCCCCAGCTCAGTTCTTAAGGTCCCCTGAGCAGTTTCAGCATTTGCAAGAGATTATAATTCAGCAGCTAAATACCCCTGAAAATGATGAACTTCCTCCAGTCCATCAAGAGCCCAGAATGCAGCCTCCAACTCAGCTCTCCTCAGACTTTGAAAGTCTACTGAGTGATGAGGTGGTATTTTCACCTCTTGATCTGTCTCCGGTATTCATAAGTAATTCACCTTTGCCTAATACCACAGTCAAAAATGTGGATCTGGAGCTTACCATACCTACACAGTCACTATGGAGGTTGAACCTTCTCCAGCCCAGCAGGACAACCATCCTATTCCCACTGAGCAGGCAGACTTTTCTCTAGTCCAGCCTGATCTCTGTTCCCCACCTCTGCATTCTCCTGAAAAGATTGAATCTCCAGTCCAGCAAGAGGCCACAATTCAGACTCCAGATTCTCCTAAGGAAGTAGAACCGTCTCCATTCCTGCAAGAGTTCCCAGCTGAACCACCATTGCCCCTTAAGGAGGTTGAACCATCTATAACCCAGCAGGAAGCCTCAGGTCATCCTCCAAAGTTCATGGAAGAGATCAGCCCTCCACTGCAGCAGGAGATACCAGCTCAGCCATCAGAGCCACCTGGGAAGTTCGAACCATCTCCTGTCCTACAGCAGGCCCCAACTCAGCTTTTAGAGCCAGCTAAAGAGGTAGGATCCTCTCCAGTCCAGCAAGCAGTTCCTGCTCAGTCTTCAGAGCCCCCTATGGTGATAGAACCCTCTCTGACTCAGCAGGTGGCCCCATCTTTGCCTCCAGAGTTCCCTGAAGATATGGAACCATCTCTAACTCAGCAGGATGTTCCAGCTCAGATTCCAGAGCCCCCTATGGAGGCAGAACCTTCTCCACCCCAGCAGGAGGCCATAGTTCAGGCTCCAGAGCCCCCTACGGAGGTTGCAGCTCAAACTCCAGCTCATTATGAGTTGACAATTCCAAAACCAGATCAGGATCAAGGTCAACATTCAACATCGCCTAGTGTCACAGTTCAACCTTTGGACCTGGGGCTTACCATCACTCCAGAATCCATGACAGAGGTTGAACTTTCTCCAACCATGCAGGAAACCCCAACTCAGCCCCCTAAGAAAGTTGTACACCAACTGCTAGTATATCAAGAGGTAACAGTTCCAACACCAGGGCAGGATCAAGCTCAGCACCCAGTGTCACCCAGCGTTACAGCTCTACCTTTGGACCTGGGACTTACCGTACCTCCAGAACCCACTATGGAGGTTGAACATTCTACACCCCTGAAGAAGACCGTAGTGACTCCACAGCACCCTAAGGTGACACTTCCACATCCAGACGAGGTTCAGACTCAGCATTCAAACCTGACTCAAGCCACAGTTCAACCTTTGGATCCGGGGCTTACCATGACTCCTGAATCCGCTGCAGAGGTTGAACCTTCCACAGCCCTGATGGCTACAGCTCCTCCTCCAAAACAGCCTGAGGTGACACTTCCACCTTCAGACAAGGGTCAGACTCAGCATTTAAACCTGACTCAAGTCACAGTTCAGCTGCTGGACCTGGAGGTTACCATAACTACAGAACCTACTACAGAGGTTAAACTGTCTCCAGCCACAGAGGAGACCTCAATTCAGCCTCCAGATCTGTCTCAAAAAAAAATACAAAAATTAGCCATCACTCCAGAACCCACTACAGAGACTGGACATTCTGCAGCCCTTGAGAAGACTATAGCTACTCGTCCAGACCAGGTTCAGACTCAGCATCAAAACCTGACTGAAGTCACAGGTCCACCTACTGATCTAGAACCTACTCAGGATTCACTGGTGCAGTCTGAAACTTACGCCCAAAATAGGGCTTTAACTGCACCAGAGGAACAGGCCTCCGCAAGCACCAACACGTGTGAGCTCTGTACCTGCAGAGATGAGACGCTGTCGTGTACTGATCTCAGCCCAAAGCAGAGGCTCCACCAGGTGCCTGTGCCAGAGCCCAACACCTACAACGGCACCTTCACTATCTTGTAAGAATCACCTTTCCCTCCATTGTCCTCTGTGTCCCGCCTGACATGGCAGCCTTTTCCTGGAGGCCTTCCTGGGCCTCCTTTATCTCCCCAAGCCATACTGACAGCTGACTTTCTGCTTTCACCTTTGCTTGTCCACTCTTCCTTCTCCTCATTCTCCTTTACTGTTAGGCCCCGTCTCCAGTCTTCTGCTTGTGATTGCGCAGCAACATATATATTAAATGTACAAACAAATTATTGAGTAAGAGAAGTGATACAGAAAATAATGTGTAATATGATTTCATTTATATGTTATATAATGTTCAGAAGGCAAAACTAAAATATGTTGTTTATGAATGACCTATAATAGTTAAAACTACATTTTATTTTATTCATTTATTTATTTTGAGATGGAGTCTCACTCTGTTGCCAGACTGTAATGCGGTGGTGTGATCTTGGCTCACTGCAACCTCTGCCTCCTAGGTTCAAGCAAGTCTCTGCTTCAGCCTCCCAAGTAGCTGGGATTATAGGTACCCACCACAATGCCCAGCTAATTTTTGTATTTTTTTTTGAGACAGAGTCTTGCTCTGTCGCCCAGGCTAGAGTGTCGTGGTGCGATCTCGGCTCACTGCAACCTCTGCCTCCTAGGTTCAAGCGATTCTCCTGTCTCAGCCTCCTGAGTAGCTGGGCTTACAGGTGTGCACCACCATGTCTGGCTAACTTTTGTATTTTTAGTAGAGACATGGTTTCACTATGTTAGCTAGGCTGGTCTTGAACTCCTGACCTCATGATCCACCTGCCTCAGCCTCCTAAAGTGTTGTGATAACAGGCCACTGCACCCAGCCTATTTTATTTATTTTTGAGGAAGGGTCTGTGGTGTGCAAACATGGCTCAGTGCAGCCTAGACCTCCCATACTCAAGTGATCCTCCCATCTCAGCCTCTCCAGTAGCTGGGACTACAGGTGCAGGCCAACATGCCCAGCTAATTTTTAAAATTTTCTAGAGACAAGGTCCTGCTGTATTGCTCAGACTGGTCTTGAACTCCTGGGCTCAAGCAATCCTCCTGCCTTGGCCTCCCAAAGTGCTGGGATTACAGGTGTGAGCCACGGCGCCCAGCCAGAACTATTTATTTTGTTTTACATTATTTTTTATTTTATCATTTTAATTAATTATTATTATTATTATTTTGAGATGAAGTCTTACTCTGTCACCCAGGCTGGAGTGCAGTGGTGCTATCTTGGCTCACTGCAATCTCTGCCTCCCAGGTTCAAGCGATTCTCCTGCCTTGGCCTCTCGAGTATCTGGAATTACAGGCACACACCACTACCACCTGGCTAATTTTCGTATTTTTAGTAGAGACAGGGTTTCACCATGTTGGCCAGGCTAGTCTTGAACTCCTGACCTCAGGTGATCCACCTGCCTCAGCCTCCCAAAGTGCTGGGATTACAGGCATCAGCCACAGCACCGGGTCAGAACTACATTTTAAAAGCAAGAAAATTATTACAAAAGACAAGATAGTGATTACCTGTAAGGGTTAGAGAGAGGCAAAAGAGAGAAGTCTCGTCTTTATACTTACTAGACTCATAGCGTCTGTCTTCTCCAGCGTGTAAGGCATTATCTCAATAGGTCCAGTTAAAGTACTACAGGGTAGCCATCTTTTTAAAAAATTGTTGGCCACATTTTAAAGTTCACAGGGGAGGGGGAATGTCTCATATGCCAGCCCTCCAGAGCCTAGGCCCTCTGTGAGATGTGTCACGGTTTCTTGGACACCATATTGAAACAGGAAAAATTCCCTTGTCCCCCTTGCAGGTGTAGGACGGGGGTGAGGGGGGTGACTCGCTTCTTCAGTGCCCTGCTGCTCAAACCTCAAGGGGAGCAGACAGGCAGGCAGATTGCAGGGCTCCGACCCCACAGCAGTGTCTAACGATGAATGCTTGCAGCTCCTGAAGCCCCAGTGGGTGTGTGCTACCCTGTGCTCTTTTAGTTTTGCATTTTTAGGCAGTTTATGTTAACCAACTCAGTTAAACCCTCTACCTTGTTGCAAGGACAGAGGGCTTTCTGTATCCAGGTTCTTGCCTTGGTGTGCTGGAAGAATCAAATCACACCTGGGCTTGGAGAATGGGTGTAAGGTTTTACTGAGTGAAGGTCGCTGTCATCAGATAGCGAAAGCCAGATGGGATGGAGTGGGAAGATTTTCCCCTGGAGTCGCCCGGGCCGTCCTCCCACTGCCCCAACCAAACTCTGCCTCAGCCTGCCGGTTGGTGGCCTGCCCGGGGTGCTCCCCTCGAAGTCCTCTTGATGTCCAGCATGAACACAAAGAAGGGAACAACAGACACTGGGGCCTACCTGAGGCTGGAGGGTGGGAGGAGGGAGTGGAGCAGGAGAAACTACTGGGTACTGGGCTTAGTACCTGGAAGATGAAATAATCTGTACAACAAACCCCTGTGATACAAGTTTACTTATATAACAAACGTGCACATGTATCCCCTAACCTAAAATAAAAGCTTTTTTTCAAAAAAGGAAAAAAACACCTGGAAGACAAGAAAAATGTATAATTAAAAAAAGAAGAAGACAATGCTCCTAGTGCCCCCATCATTCAGGAATCTCCAAGGGTTTTAGGAGCTCTGTGTTAGGAACTGGGGGCAGAGACCAAATATCTATTTCTTCTTATATCGCATACCCCAGATAGGAAAACAGAAATTACTCTAGATATCTCACAAAAAGGGGTTTCATACGGGCAATTAGTGCTTATCACTGGAGTGGCTAGAGGTGGCGAAGGTTGGGGAGGAGGGGGTTGCACCACTGGCTTTCAGACTAATTTACCACAGCTGATTTCCAGAGGATGGAAGAAGTCAGGAAACATGGGGAACTGCTGCTGAGGTCCTTGCAGCCCCATGGTCCCCATGCTGGTGACTGGCAGGGGATATGGAGTCTAGCTGATCACCTGAGCCTGCACACCTGCTCTTACAGGGCAGGGGGGTGGGGGGAAGGATGACTCTACCTCCTTTCCACATTCCACATTTCACATGACTGCATTTGATTGGCAGCACCCGGCTGGCAAGGAAGCTTTGATGTTGATGTGTGGTTCCTCAGCTTCCTGGCACCTGCGAGAAAGGGGTGAAATGAGTGTCACGAGCAGCCAGCATTCTGCAGCACAGTTCCACTGGCAGCCCCACTTATACTTGAAGGTGTCCTGTCACCCTACCCACTTTTTGGTAGGTGTTTGGGGGTCTGAGGCTTTGCAAAAGAAGAAACGTAGGGAGTTTACGGTGGAGTCATGTGGTGGAGACAGAGGCCTGCAGAGGTGTCATTCTAGAGGGCAGCAAGTGACACACAGCCATCTTCCTTCTTTGACTGGAACAAACACCTGGGATTGACCCAGAATTTGCTCTGGAATGTTCTCACTGGAATGAAAGCTGAGCAGTTTGCAGGCCATACAGTATCAGAGAAAACATAGCCCTCATTGAAAAAGACTGCCAGAAAAAAAAAGTGTCCACAGAGAAATTCTGGGACACTTCTATTTTGTTTTTTAGACAGTCTCACTCTGTCGCCCAGGCTGGAGTGCAGTGGCATGATCTCAGCTCACTGCAACCTCTACCTTCAGGATTCAAGTGATTCTCCTGCCTCAGCCTCTTAAGTAGCTGGGATTACAGGCACCCACCACCACACCCAGCTAATCTTTATATATGTATTTTTTTTGGTAGAAACAGGTTTCTGGGAGATTGACGCAGGGGAGTGGGCATGTGAGTTGGAAGCGAGGCATTGGGGATCACTATTTTCTCATCTTACTGGTTTTAGGGCCCCCATTCTATCCCTTCTATACAAACCTCACAGAATTTTAACTAGGAAGGCCAGGAGGGGTGGCGCACGCCTGTAATCCTAGAACTTTGGGAGGCCGAGGTGGGTGGATCACTTGAGGTTGGGAGTTCGAGAGCAGCCTGACAAACATGGTGAAACCCCATCTCTATCAGAAGGGTGTGGTGGCGTACACCTGTAATCCCAGCTACTTGGGAGTCTGAGGCAGGTGAATTGCTTGAACCCAGGAGGCAGGTTGCAGTGAACCAAGATCACACCATTGCACTCCAGCCTGGGCAACAAGTGTGAAACTGTCTATAAACAAACAAACAAACAAAACAAAACAAGAATATTAACTAGGAAAGACCTTAGTCAGTAGTTTGTCCTTTATGATAGGAAACCTGAGAAAGAGAAAGGGAGAGTGTCTTGCCCCATGGCCACACAATGCACTCTGGCTTTTTCTATTTTATTCACATTCAAAAAGAATATGTTGTCCTTTAAGCTTATTTCACGGCTCACTCACTCACCAGCGACAGCCTGCTGTATGAAGATCTGTGAAATGGATAACTTGGTTAGCTGCACTCAGGCATTTGCTTGAAGTGATTCAACTTACAGAATAAAGCATCTAGAAAAAAAAAGAACCACTTTATCCCCCCACCCCCATCAAATGATGCCTATGAGACTAAGTCTGAAGGGGACTGATGTAAAATGCTTCTACCAAGCATGGTTTGTGCGGTTTGTTCGCTGCACGAGGGCGCTTAGCCAACGGGGTGAGTGGGACCGAACATCCTGCCCGTGCTCCATGCTGAACCACATACAAAGTTCCCCCCCCAGCTATATTGTGGGGTCCTTCTGGACAGACATGGAGAGCTTCTGAAAGTCCTACCTGCATGGAATTATTTTCAAGACTCCAGATATTGGTGACAATTACCAACGTGTACATCACAAGGGCGCAGCTGATGATCTGCCACGTCAGCGTGGGCACGCCGCACAACGTCCTGCTGCAGCGCCGCTTGGCTTCCTTCTTCGACCCGAGCGCGAGGGCCAAGGGCTGTGGCACCAGCAACGGCTCTTCTCCCAACGATTTCCGCCGGAAGTCCCGCGACAGCGCATCCTGCAGGCCTCCGTCAAGCACTACTGCCAGAGCTTCACCCCCGACTTCAAGAAGAGTGAGATGAATGCCATAGCGGCCGACATGTGCACCAATGCCCGCCGCATCGTGGGCAAGAGCTGGATACCCAAGGTCAGGGTGCTCAAGGCTGAGAATGATGCCTACACCACCTTCATCAGTGAAATGGGCAAGAGTGAGCAGGACATGATGGGTGTGCAGCAGGCTTCTAGACAGCCAGCCACGAGGGTGAGGCGGGCCCCTTGGCCGAGGCCCTGCAGTAACCCGTAGTCCTGGGAGTCTCCCCACGGGCCGCACACTCCCACTCCTGACACACACACACACACACACGCACACACAGAGTCAAACTCTGTAAAATGTTAAAGGG